GTTTAGCCCATGTACAGTTTTAGTCCTTAAAGTTTTAACAAAAGCAAACATGATCCTTAATATGTAGCACGTCTGCAGTTTTAGTCCATAAAGTTTTAGCAAGAGCAAATTTGGTCCCCATTATATCCAATTTGAATCTAGTTTAGGACATTTGAATAATTTTATCTCAATTACTAACAAAATATAGTCACGCCTAATCATTTGCCTATTAATTTAAATTTCAAAATAAAGAAGCAAAATAGTAGCTAAGTTGAAGCAACAAAATTAAGAACTCATAACTCATGTCCTAACTAATTAAATAGTTAAAAGAAGGAAAATTTTTAATTTAAAACTTCAATGTACCTAGTTCATCAATCCAGAATTCATTTTCATTGACTATTCCCAATGTCTCCAAGCAAAAAAAAAAAAAATTGTAAGACCTAATTTTAGGTATAGATTAACAAATTTTCTTTTTTTCTCTCAATTAATTAGTTATTAATGTGCTAGCGTGCAAGTTATTCTTATTGTTCAAGATTACTTGTTATTTCGCTACTTTTTAAGAAGTTTTTCGACAAATATGTGACCAAAGATGACTGATTCGATCAATATTTAGAAAAATCCACCAGTTGTCCTAAAAATGCTTCAAATTGATAATATTGGAGGTCGGATTTGCTCTTGCCAAAACTTTAGGGACTAAAACTATACATATACTAAACATTGAGGACCAGATTACTTTTGTCAAAACTTTAAGAACTAAAATTGCATAGAGATTAAACATTAGGGACTAAAACTATATTTTTTTCTTAAAATTTTAAACATTGCATTTAGCGAATGCATTTCCCAAAAAACGCATTCACTGAATACGTTTGTTTGAAAACCGTCATGTTTTGGGAACTGGCTTCAAAAAGTAGCCTGATTTGTGGACAATGACCTTCGTGTCTCATTCATGAGGCTTAGTGATCTCATCACGTAATTGGTCCAACAATAGAATGCGTTACATTGCAATTTTTGACTTGTGTAACTGATTAAATAGTCCCTCATGCTTTTCGAAACTAGTTTGGACCTTGGCAATATTGTTTGTGTATGTTTTATATACTGTATTCCATGACACTCTAATTATAATTTGCTTTAGAATGAAAAATATTGTAGTATTCTCGTGCCATCAAACAAGAAAGGACGTTTTTTTTTGGGATTTTTTTGCGGCACCTATAAGAAGTATTCTTAATTTGAAAAGCATGTAAAACACATAGAATTACCTTTGTGTCTCAGGCTTGTGATGTCTAATTACTTGAACCTTTATTTTTGGAAAGAGAAAATAATAATCCATGGAATCTTGAGATATGAAGTATTTTGATTAAATTGTAAAATTATCGAGAAATGAGCCTTTTAAACTTTACGCAACCATGGATGTTGAACTCACTTTCATGGGGATTGGCGTGCCATTGTCGCTATCTTATTATTATTATTTTTAAACAAATGATGAATGAATTTTGGCCAAGAATAACTTGAATGATGCATTTGCTTCCATCTTACCAAGAAAGGGGCATCAACATAATTACATATCTCTTGCTTTTCGCTAAAGTGCTTGACTAATGACGTTAGACAAAGAATAACTTGAATGATGCATGCTCATTGAATAGATAAAAAGTGCCTTAACAATTGTGCTCTATGCTCAAAGATTAGGCCATAATGTAACTCTTGTTTACATATTCATTACAACATAAACTCAAGTTTGAATTGTACATTCGTTGCATTGAAAGTGTACATCGCCATAATAAGTGAAATATTTCATACACATATTTCTAGTATTATGCTCTAATGACCAAAAATGATAATGATGTGACCAAATGTGGACCCTTAATACGTGTAGAAGTGCACTGCTTCATTGGCAAAGTCGGTTGGCATTTTCACTTGAGTTTTGTTAATCATGTTGTTGCTGTGGCCTTCATCTCTTTACTGACTGAGTACGTTCCAATCCGGAGGGAACGTACTCGTCTGTTAGTCCTGGAGATAAACTTAAAACATTATTGTTTAATCTTAATTATTAATCCTTTTGGAAGTTTTAAACTAGTGGTAAAGCCAAAATCTTTTCCAGCTTTTAAACTAAAAATGTTTTTAAAAAAACTAGGTTTTTGTTTAGCATCTATGTTTATGGAGTATTTTACGAAGACAAATAATTTGTAAAAAAACATCTACAGTAACTTGCTAAAGATACTCCAAAATACCCAAAAAAAGAATTTTAATGAATTATAATCATCATAATAAATTTAAAAAAGTATAATATGAAACTTCAATCACCAATTAACAATGACATAATTGAAATAAGAAAAACGAATATCACAAGAATGCTTATACTTGCACTTCATAATGTGGCTCATGATACTTTTTATGTAGTAATGATAATGATAATGGTTAGTATATATATCAATCAAAGATAATTAAAGAGGGGGAATCGGGGTATGTATGGTGCTCATGGCCCCCTATGGGCACCATGAGTAGGTGGGTATTTGCGTCAATTTGGAGATGGTTAAAATCTTAATCAATGGCCTGATGCTTGACCAGTTGGGCAGGGGTTGTGTGTTTGTTGCTTGACTATAATACCCTGATTATGAGGTGATGGTTGACAATAACGCCCTTCTGTTCCTTTTCTATCCTTTGCACCAAAGAAATGCGCAGCATAAATTGCTGTGCCTTCCACGTCTTTTTCATATTTGGAACTCAAAAAAATGAACGTTTGAAATTTTGGCCGGTGCAACCGATCGCGTGCGCGTTGCTCTTGCTGCTACTGCTGCAACGATAGGGCGCGCCGTCAGATTGAAGTAACACTGAGTATGCATACAAACCTGTTGTTAACTACAATCCGATAGATATAATATTGAAAAAACCAATTCCAAAAGAAAATAAAATACCAAAACTCTCCAGTTAACTACATGTATACACACAGACATATATACTGTATTTCAATATTGTAAATGCAAGTTTGTTGTTAATTTAACACTACACACATATACACTGTCCTTTTTATGTTCTAAAAAAAAAAATTTTTTTTAAAGAGAATGGTTTGTTTTTATGTTATAATTTTTAATTTTTTTTCCTTTTTACGTCAACCTAATGTCATGCACATATCACATGTGCCTAGATTCCACAAAAACTAAAGTGACGTTCTAATTTTGCTTCTATAATATATATCAGGTTGTCATTTTGGGAATAGTTTGCTTTATTTTTATAAGGTGAGAAATACTTTCAGAAACCTTTCCTAAGGTCATGACAATGCTACATGGAACCCTCTACTTTGAAAAATGTCACCTATCTCCTTCATTTTCAACTACGTTATCAGTCCATTTCAAAATATATTATTAAAAACACAATTTTGAGAAAGAAGATGTTTCATGCCAAAATTGCCCTTGCGTTGTTCAGCTAGTTTTTTAAAAGTGAAACTATAGTACTAAAAGCTTGAAAATTAAAAAAAAAAAAATAGTGTGCAGGCGTAATTTTGGCAAGATAAAATATACTAGCAGATGTTTTGAAGGTACAAAAGATTAATCTTTAAGATTATGTTTAAGGTTTTTCAAGCTGAAAAAATATTTCATTTATTGTAACGGTTTTCGTTAATTGGAGGAGTTTTATAAATTTTAAGAATCTTTGGAATTTTTGAAATTTTGTGTATAGGCTAATGATTTGAAAATAAAAAATGGACACAATGTCTAAAATTAAGTTTACAAACTCATTTAAGGCATTTTCAAAGATAACTTATTTTGTTTGCTGCAAAGTCTTTTGGATGAATTTAAGGATCCTATAAATTGTTTAGAATATTTTGAATGTTCAAAATTTCTGTCCAAATTGATGGCTTGAAAACAAGAAAAAGAAAAAATTACTGACAATATATTTAGAAATTTATTTGAGGTGTTTTGAAGGTGCAAAAAGTTATTTTCTTAACTGTAACAATTTTTGGATGACTCGTATGAGTCTTCTAAATCATTTAGAGTTTCTATTTTTTTTCTTTTTGTTTAGATAGATGATATCGAAAACTATAAAAGGTCTTTCAGTTTCATTAACAAGTTGTAGTTATTAAGAAATTGATTTGGTTTGTTATGAAAGCTAAAGGTCCACAAGGGTAATTTTGGAATGAAAATGTCTTATCTCTCCCAAAATGAGTTTTTAAATCATATTTGTTTAAACAGGTTGACAAAGTTGCAAGAAGTTGAAAATAAGGGATGTAGGTGACATTTTTCAATGTTTAGGGATACCATGTGATATGTCACAAGCCTTATGGGTGTTTTTGTAATTATGCCTTTCAAAAAATGTGGGACCCAAAAAAACTCCCCCTAAATGTGGGGGATTGAACCCAAAATTTTCTCTTTCTTTAGTTGTATTTGTAAATAAAAGTAGACCATTTTTTTTTTTGGTCAATGTTAAAACTTCTGACCTCGAGTCATGCCTGTACCTTGTGTTTCATTTAGTGACCAACTCACCTAAGACAACTTGATTAAAAGTAGAGATGTTTAGATTTCTACTTTTTTCTCGCCAACCACGTACTAAAAATAGTTTGTACTTTTTTTTCTTTCATCTTCTTGGAAAACCCAAGAGGAAATTTCATCAAACCTAAACCCCAGACCAATCGTCAAAAGCCGGCAACTTTTGACGACGACCCAGGAGACTTAACTACTAAACCCCCCAAACCCCCCCAGCCGATGTGGGATTGAAACCCCAACAGGGGCCAAAATAGTTTGTACTTCAATTCATATCTTTTTCATTTTTCTTTTTTCCTGAACTGGGAAATACTTCTCCATTATCAAGAAATTTCCTGGCCTTTGCAGCCAGGCAGTGAGCAACAATAACAAAAATTCTATCTTGTTTAAAAGGGGTAAAACAACTAAAGCTCTTAGATCAATACACAATATTTTGAATATTGATTGAACATCTACAGCTGCTAGCAATGTGTGCAAATTCAGGCCGAGACAACAATCTCTGGCTAGGTAATCTACTTAACAGCAGGAAGTAAGAGGCAAATCTATCATGGATTTGAACATAGATGGCCTTATTCGAAGTATAATGGAAGTGATAATTCATTGCATTGATGTTGGTGGGTACAAACAGAAAACTTTGTCATGGTAGCCTTAGAAGCTAAGATGGCAATCAAATCAATTACTACATTGCAGATATGAAAAAGAAATACGTCCAAGTTTTATTGGCTAAGTAGGTATAAGCGCCAATATTTGGTTCCTGACAATTCCCATGCACTTCTGTATTTCAGTATAAACTGGAAGGTTTTGTGGGCAGCAAGGCTTCAAGCTTGTAATTGCAGAATCCAATATTTGAGCCACATCGGCTGGTGGAAACTGCCTCTCTGTACATTTTTGCAACAAATGACTGCAATATTAAGCCAATAAGTATACATTCGCAAAAAGGTCGAACTGTGTAAATCACAAGAAAACAAAACAACAAATTGTAGAATGAAGAGCATTTAAAACATTGTACGCACAGATGTTCAATTCTCGAATAGAGAACTGATATTCTAGTCGTGTCATTCCTACAACTGCGGAAAGAACTTGCTAACCAATAAATGGAGTTGACAAAGAAAATATTTCAAAAATGATGCAAACCTAACAGCAGCAAGCAAGTGAAGGGTGAGCTTCATTATCAGTTAAACGAAGTTTGAGATTAGTTTCAACTCCTCCTTAATTCATTGAAAAAAAGCAAAACAAGGGAGTGATCCCATTATACGAATAGTTGCTAGATTGAGTCAGTAACTTCATTATGGCTACAATTTAATAGCCATAAATATCCACTTTATTGAAACTGAGATTCAGTACTTTGAACTGATAATAAGCCATAAGGAAAATATAAACCAAAATATGCACAGCTTGTAGTTTTAACAGGAAAAGGGAATCGTCCAAGTGATCAAACTTCTGATATAAACATCATCACAAGTGGGCCCTCTATGAAGCAAAGAAAGAGACAAGATGGGAATAAAGGATCTTAGAGATATAAGGAGCTGAATCATGAGCAGAGTAGCTACACATCGAGTGATAAGCTCCGGAGGGATTTGTGCCTCTTTCCTGTCTGTTGCATTTTTCAGGTTAGGATCGGATCCTGCAAAACAATCAAAATGCTAGAGTTCAGTTCGTTTGATTCATAAAAGCCAGAACTAGAGAGTTGAATTTATGGCAACAAACAGTCTTACAGCTGGAACAGAGGAATCATCTGAAGGATGCTGCTCATTTACGTAATCAATAGCCTCCTCAAATCTTCTCTATTATCCCAACCTTTAAGCGAGGACATGGCCTAAATGAAAAGCAAATTCAAATTAGAATTAATAAATGCTAAGAAATGAAACTTCAACTCAATAAAAGTTCATCTGCCAACCAGAAACCAACAATATAACAAACTAGTGATGGCAGTGCATTGAGAAAAACCGATACTGCAGCTTAAAAAACTAAAGGTATGCACTTTTGGGATCATATCAGAAGCAGCAGCCCAATTAGATCTATGTAAACTATACAGAAGGGGTCAGTACAAACATAAAAGAAACATCATCCTACTTAAACCAATCAAAGCCCACCAGAATTCAAGAAGTTTCTCCTATTATGCAATATCGTGTGACAATTGGTGTGTAAACGATGGTGTCCTTTGTCCAATAACATAAGCTATGCTTCCTAAGACTCTAGAAAGCATCACAATGGTACATTTCAGTCTGGCTCCGATTATAATGAACAGTGGAAGCAAAGAAAAGTTATGGTCTAGTAACTAGTGCAAGGAAATCGGAAAAGACCAGATTCTTTCACAATCAAAAGACATGTTTAGCACCAAGTAAATAAAAAAATCTTAAAGAGCAAAAGATAAGCTATTGGCATAGGGTAAAAGTTCACAAACACATAAAAGTACAGGAAAATGCCCTGTTCTTAGGCCAATTACATGACTCAAGCATACTAGAATGCAAACTTGCACCAATTCCTTGTACTCTTAGTAAATTGGATGGAGGTAATAAAAGAGTTCTTGGGGAGAGAAATGCTGCATTATCACTTTTCTACACAACAAACCTCCTAAGATCTTCTTCTTCTTCAGCAACGATGGGAAACACCATGAAGCTGATGTTTGAGCACACTATCAGTGCTTTTTTGTTCACCATGTCTGCCTGCTTGTTCATTGTCATCGACTTCTTCTTGTTCGCTCTCACTGCTGGCCTGCATGGTAATTGTGATGTATAAACTTCTGGAACTTGTGAAACATGACAAACAACTATCCAAAATTATTGTATATTGAACAGAAAATTGTATCTTGAATTTTCTTCGCAAATGTTTCTTGATTAGCTTTAATGTTGTCCGTTCAAACCGGCAATATCAGGTGACAGAAAAATGAAGAATGGGTCCACGTACATGTAGCATTACAAATCAAATGAAACATTTTCCAACACATTCAAACAAAGAGGCTAATTGTGTATGCACCATTGCTAATAATTTCATCCTTGGCCAAATAGAATGTAACAATTTGAAGTGTAAGGAGTTTTTAAGATGTTCAAAATCTTTCAGTGATTCAGAGAGGCAGAGGAAATCCAGAATTTTGGTCTCTTCTAATTTGTTCAAAACCATGATCTGTTAAAACTAATCTTTGAAGAGAAACCAAGGTCTGCCCAAAAAGAAGAGGATTACAGAGATTAACTTTGCAAGACTAGTGAAATTTCATAGAAGAGACGGAGAAAACAGAGTATAAGAGACTGAAGAGCAAATTTATGTCAAAAAATTTGTATACATATATATGAGTGTGAACTTTAGATAGGAAAATCTTACAAAATAACTTGAAATCTACTCCTCCAAGTAGATGCCTCTTTGGGGAGCGTATCGTTGTCTTAATAGAGGACACCGACGAACTTCAACACTAGTTAACTTTGTGAGTCGTCTCATGGCAGCCTCAGACAGCAAACATCGAAGCTTTTCGCAATTCGATAGCTGTAGGGTTTCAAGGGACACAAGGTTTCCAATCCAATCAGGTAGCACTTCTATTCCTCCAAAGTTCTTCAGATTTAGTGAAGTGAGGGTAGTCAAGTATTGAAGCTGGTGTGGCAGGAAATCCGAGTGACGTAACCCTTCTAAGTGAACCTTACGGAGTGTTGATGCAGATCTTAAACCAGACCAGTCAAAACCATCAATTGAGGAGTCACCTGAGGAGAAGGGACCGATCCACAATTTTCTTAAGTTGGTGGCAAAAGCAAATCCATTGAACCTATGAGGGATCAATTTCGGACAGTTGAGCAGGGCGAAATCCTCGAGAGAAGGCATCTCCTGCAAATTAAGCGAAAATGACACCAGATTGGGGCAACACTCCACCGACAGGGACCTCAGAGACTGGCATGACTCGAACATTTTGTCGGATATAGTGGTCAACCCAACACAATATTGAATACTCAATCGTTCAAGACATGGTAGTGGGCATTTCAGCCCATTTACTCCCAGACTAATTAGTCTTGGGCAACTTTCGATGCTCAGCCGCTGCAAACTCGATCCAAACACATCTTCTGGCAGCTCCCTAAGATTGTTGCAACAGCCAATCTTCAACTTTTCAACAGAAGCAGTGCCGTAACCCGTTTTTATACTTGTTAGATTGCGGCAATATTGCACGTCTAGAATTTTGCATGAGCACGGGAGAGTGGTCAAGCAGAATAGCTACACATCGAGTTATAAGCTCCGGAGGGATTTGTGCCTCTTTCCTGTCCGTTGCATTTTTCAGGTTAGCATCGGAAGCCTGCAAAACAATCAAAAAGCTAGAGTTCAGTTCGGCTGATTCAGAAAAGCCAGAACTAGAGAGTTGAATTTATGGCAACAAACAGTCTTACAGCTGGAACAGAGGAATCATCTGAAGGAAGCTGCTCATTTACGTAATCAATAGCCTCCTCAAATCTTCTCTAATGTATTTTCCCTACCTTTAAGCGAGAACATGGCCTAAATATTTAAAAGCAAATTCAAATTAGAATTAATAAATGCTAAGAAATGAAACTTCAACTCAATAAAAATTCATCTACCAACCAGAAACCAATATAACAAACTAGTGATGGCAGTGCATTGAGAAAAACCGATATTGCAGCTTAAAAAACTAAACGTATGTACTTCTGGGATCATATCAGAAGCAGCAGCCCAATTAGATCTATGTAAACTATACAGAAGGGGTCAGTACAACACATAAAAGAAACATCATCCTACTTAAACCAATCAAAGCCCACCAGAATTCAAGAAGTTTCTCCTATTATGCAATATCGTGTGACAATTGGTGTGTAAACGATGGTGTCCTTTGTCCAATAACATAAGCTATGCCTCCTAAGACTCTAGAAAGCATCACAATGGTACATTTCAGTATGGCTCCGATTATAATGAACAATGGAAGCAAAGAAAAGTTATGGTCTAGTAACTAGTGCAAGAAAATCGGAAAAGACCAGATTCTTTCACAATCAAAAGACATGTTTAGCACCAAGTAAATAAAAAAATCTTAAAGAGCAAAAGATAAGCTGTTGGCATAGGGTAAAAGTTCACAAACACATAAAAGTACAGGAAAATGCCCTGTTCTTAGGCCAATTACATGACTCAAGCATACTAGAATGCAAAGTTGCACCAATTCCTTGTACTCTTAGTAAATTGGATGGAGGTAATAAAAGAGTTCTTGGGGAGAGAAATGCTCCATTATCACTTTTCTACACAACAAACCTCCTAAGCTCTTCTTCTTCTTCAGCAACGATGGGAAACACCATGAAGCTGATGTTTGAGCACACTATCAATGCTTTTTTGTTCACCATCTCTGCCTGCTTGTTCATTGTCATCGACTTCTTCTTGTTCGCTCTCGCTGCTGGCCTGCATGGTAATTGTGATGTATAAACTTCTGGAACTTGTGAAACATGACAAACAACTATCCAAAATTATTGTATCTTGAACAGAAAATTGTTTCTTGAATTTTCTTCGCAAATGTTTCTTGATTAGCTTTAATGTTGTCCGTTCAAACCGGCAATATCAGGTGACAGAAAAATGAAGAATGGGTCCACGTACATGTAGCATTACAAATCAAATGAAACATTTTCCAACACATTCAAACAAAGAGGCTAATTGTGTATTCACCATTGCTAATAATTTCGTCCTTGGCCAAATAGAATGTAACAATTTGAAGTGTAAGGAGTTTTTAAGATGTTCAAAATCTTTCAGTGATTCAGAGAGGCAGAGGAAATCCAGAATTTTGGTCTCTTCTAATTTGTTCAAAACCGGGATCTGTTAAAACTAATCTTTGAAGAGAAACCGAGGTCTGCCCAAAAAGAAGAGGATTACAGAGATTAACTTTACAAGACTAGTGAAATTTCATAGAAGAGACGGAGAAAACAGAGTATAAGAGACTGAAGAGCAAATTTATGTCAAAATATTTGTATACATATAAGTGTGAACTTTAGATAGGAAAATCTTACAAAATAACTTGAAATCTACTCCTCCAAGTAGATGCCTCTTTGGGGAGTGTATCGTTGTCTTAATAGAGGACACCGACGAACTTCAACACTTGTTAACTTTGTGAGTCGTCTCATGGCAGCCTCAGACGGTAAACATCGAAGCTTTTCGCAATTCGATAGCTGTAGGGTTTCAAGGGACACAAGGTTTCCAATCCAATCAGGTAGCACTTCTATTCGTCCAAAGTTCTTCAGGTTTAGTGAAGTGAGGGTAGTCAAGTATTGAAGCTGGTGTGGCAGGGAATCCGAGTGACATAACCCTTCTAAGTGAACCTTACACAGTGTTGATGCAGATCTTAAACCAGACCAGTCAAAACCATCGATTGAGGAGTCATCTGAGGAGAAGGGACCGATCCACAAATTTCTTAAGCTGGTGGCAAAAGCAAATCCATTGAACCTGTGAGGGATCAATTTGGGACAGTTGAGCAGGGCGAAATCCTCGAGAGAAGGCGTCTCCTGCAAATTAAGCGAAAATGACACCAGATTGGGGCAACACTCCACCGACAGGGACCTCAGAGACTGGCATGACTCGAACATTTTGTCGGATATAGTGGTCAACCCGTAGCAATATTGAATACTCAATCGTTCAAGACATGGTAGTGGGCATTTCTTCCCATTTACTCCCAGACTAATTAATCTTGGGCAACTTTCGATGCTCAGCCGCTGCAAACTCGATCCAAACACATCTTCTGGCAGCTCCCTAAGATTGTTGCAACAGCCAATCTTCAACTTCTCAACAGAAGCAGTGCCGTAACCCGTTTTTATACTTGTTAGATTGCGGCAATATTGCACGTCTAGAATTTTGCATGAGCACGGGAGAGTGGTCAGTTGGGGGCAATGTTGAATGCTCAAATCCATCAGCATGGGAAAGACATCTGCTGCTTCTTCGGCTATTGTTGACCTCACTTGGTCTGCATCCTTCCACTCTACCAAATTCTTCATATATGCTACACGGAGTTCTTCAAGGGCCGGAAAGAATTTTCGTCTTCTAGTGCTGCTCCCTGATGCTCGTGATCTGCCCTTCTCCTCCCCCTCCTCATTAGTAGTAATACCATAGAATTCATCTCCAATAGATCGAATGTTTTCTAGTTTGTTCAAATAGAGACGTTTGAGGGATGGTAGTTGTCCTAATGAGGGGAGTTCACTGCATCTCTTGCAATCTTCTATCCACAACTCCACCAATTTTGGCAAATTGATAAGCCATTGCGAAAATTTAGTACCCATAAAATATCGAATTTCCAACTTTTGCAAATTTGGGTGAGGTTGGAGACCTTCGAACACATCCTCATCACAGTTATCGCTTTTCCGATGCCCCCTCTTCCGTCTAAAGTCCAACCTTAAGCGAGACAGATTTGGCTTTTCGAACAATTTTGCTTGTTTAGCTGCATCTTTTCCCTCTACTAGTCCAAGATTTCTTATCTCCAATGATCCTCTAAGATATTTCAAGGTCCCAAGCTCTTCGATGCCACAACCCTTCTCTTGACTTACATTAAAGAACTTCAGAGTTTGAAGACAAGTCAATTGTCCCATTTGCATCGGCATTTTAAATTTTGCACGATGATGATAGTAGTTTAGATGCCTCAAGCTAATCAAATCATTCATCCGTTTTGGAAAACCTTCTCCAAGTGCATTATTTCGAATCGTTAGTGTCTGCAAATTATATAGCTTGCAAAGAGATTCTGGCAAACTTTTGATTCGAGAAGATGAAATGTCGAGCAACCGCAAATGTAATAGTTTGCCAATGGAGCTCGGTAGAAACACGACATCATTGCCAGACAATCTGAGAACATGCAAGTACTTGAATCTTAAAAGCATGCCAGCAGATATGCCATCCTCTAGATGGAGAAATAACGTACGAATTGATGCTGGTATTGTCATTGTGGTTTTTTCTACCAAACCTTCAGAAGAGTTCAATGCAAGATATCGATCTTGATTGCTGCTTTCTGGATTGAGAATTGATTTTGCAAAATCATGCACGAGATCGTGCATTTTATAGTATGTCCTCAACTTGTCTTGGACTTTTTCCAGTAAGGAATTTTGTAACAAAATCCTCAAATACTCGCCTCCTGTTTCCTCCATCATTCTTGTGTTTTTCTGATCCGGTAGAACAAAACCTTCAGCAACCCAGTGCTCAATTAGTTCATCTTCTCCCAATTCAGTGTCCTGGGGAAAAATCGAGCAATATGCAAAACATTTCTTAACTGATGGAGGTGATAAATGATCAAAGCTCACCTTAAGTATTTGATTAATTTGGCTTTGATATTCATTCAAAAGACTCTCCTGCACAATGGAGTGCCACTTCTCTCTTCTGTTGTTAAACAAGCCACCAATCAAACTTGCCGCCAAGGGTAGGCCATCGCATCTCCTTAAAATTTGCTCCTGTATTGCTTCCAATTCTTTTGTTACTTCTCTTCCCTTGCGAGCACCTTTCTTTTTATGATGGACCAGCACTCATCACCTGATAGCTTTCCTAAGAAATAAGGACCACCATTCATTTGCAAATGCCTAAGCACAGCATTAGCCACTGGTTGTAGACGAGTAGTGAGAATACACCAGCTTCCTTTAGTTGTACTGAGTCCCAACAATGTGGCGAAGAAGTCACTCCACAATCCCGGTTCACAATTCCATACATCATCAAGAACAAGGAGAAATCTTTTTTCCCCAAGTTTTCCTCGAATTTCCTGAACTATGGCTTCCCTATCATCCACTTCAACCTTCGTTCTTGTCAACGATTTAAAATCAATTTAAACAGCTCCACTATATCAATTTTTCTAGCCACACAAACCCAACTCTTTATGCCAAAATTCTCATCAATTTTTGTATTGTTGTAGACTGATTTAGCAAGAGTTGTTTTGCCCAGACCACCCATGCCTGTAATGGGAATAACTGAGACAACTCTTTCAGATGGGGTCAACAGCATCCCCACTATCTTTGACTCATCGCCGGATCTTCCTACAACGTTTGGAAGAATGATAGAGTCGGTCTGTCTGCTTGTCGTGGCACCAGCGGCATCAGCAGGGAGTGCAGCTTCAATTTGGTACTTGGTTACCAATCCCAAGTCATTGGCTTGCTGGTTGATCCTTTTGAAGTTGGTGTTGATGTCCCGGATCTTGAAGCCAAGCTGGAACTAAAGCCAATTGCATTAAAGAAGGAGAAGAAGAAGCATACCTTCTTCTTGGTGAGTTGATTTCGGTACTTCACCTCCCGACGAAGATTGTCGTAGTTGAGCTCGTCCAGCACGGTATCAGCTTTAAAAACCTCATCCTCTAGCTTCTTGAGCCAATCTCGCACCCCTGGGCTATGCATTTTCGTCAGCATCAGCCAAGAAACCTCGGATCGTTGCAGCAGTGTTGCTTAGTCTCTCCAACTCTGCTTTGACCCCGAGAACCATACCAACACGGTCCGCGGCAATGGAAATGACCGTCTCCAGGACGACCTTAACAGTAGCACTGATAGCAGCGTCAGCCATTGTTTCTTGCTTGGAATTGGAACTAGGATCGAAAGGTTTTCTGATAGAAGAGATGGAAGGAATGTTTCAGCAACAATTGGCAGAAATCAGAATAGAAGCCAGTCAGAACAAGAGAGAGATGATTAAACGATTCCAGTGGGTTGATGTGTGAGATTCAGATTCCGTTGCGGTATAATTGGGATTAATCAAATTGTGTGGGGTCACCTCAAAATAATTTTAGCGCAATCTGATTGTAGTAATCTGAGGAGGTGGTGAAACTTTTATAAGACGGTTCCTCAATTAGGAAATTAAGGTAGCGAAAGTTAATAGGATCAAAATGTTTATATAGCAAATCAATAAACAAAAAGAGACACCTCTTTTTAAATCAGTTAATTTGCTTCCTATGTAGTTGAAATTTTGACAGTGAGGCTTGTGATCTCAAATACTCCATCTAAAATATAATTATCATATAATTCTTTTAGACCGGTGTTCGATCATGTTGCCCCTAATTTTTCACCTCACAACACTGTTTAAGTCTATATATCCAAGTTTGCCAAATTTAGGAACTTTTTGTCAATGTTTATCGAGACTACATATCTAATTTGTCCTAAGTTGCATCAATATTTCCTTTCGCATATTTTGACTTTGTTTAGATCGATACCCAATGGATCGATCGACATAATTTGTGCTACAAATCCTTTGACGCATGATCAATTTTGTTACATGGCAAATAACGTCAACACCAATTAATTGTCGTTGTTTTTGTTGAATGTGAAACTAATTTGAATCTTAGTGTGATTTCTTATCCAACTAAAAGTATTATTGTTAGTGTATTTGTTTTATGAGTCAGTAGGTAATTAAAATAATAAAATTGATAAATTTGTTGCTATCCACACAACCTTACTATATATATACGAAGTCATTAAAATATGATCATAGTTTGCCACCCAATACTAGTTGAAAAAATCAATTATTTCTTGTCGTATGCTGCCTTACTCCAACTAAAAGAACCGGCAAAGGTTGTTGTGAGTGATTATGCCAAGCCATTAATTGGTGATAATCTGATCATTGTTGTGAGTGATTAAGATCAGTACTAAGTGCAGCATAAATGGATGTCTAAGATGATTCAACGGGAATAAATTATCAATTATCCAACTTGTTTAAACTTTGATCCAAATGCAAATTAACGAACTTTCCTAGAAATACATACATCATAATCTCTCATCCTACTTGTCGTCCAGGATTGTTAGCTATTATTAAAGAGGGATAATTTTGAAAAATTATTGAAGCCCTATAATGATTCAAATAATCAGGTAGAAGACCAAGAATAAGCTATCAAGTAATCAAGTGTCCAGGAAACAACTAAAGCATGTGAAATTTTAAATTTAATTCATTAAGGAATTATGGAAATTCATGTGACAAAATAGAATTCCATCATACACCCCATGTCAATGTATCCATAATACTATGAAGCAACTATGAATAGAAGAGGAGGTTACCTGATCTTGAAGCAGAAAGAGGGCACAAATAGTTTCTCTATTTTCGCTCCGCCAGAGTGTTAGTGGTCAAGAGAAGGAAGAGTGAGATGAATTTTTTATTGACTGGGGTTTTATAAGGAAGCTAGAAGTCATGGAAATTTAACTTTGCCTAGAAACTTTTTACGGGTAAAACTGTCATATTGTGAAAGTATACTTTAGGCGGAAAATATTTTGACTCTGGAGAGAAATCAAAATCTGCCCAATTCTTTTATTTTCTTTCCCACTCTTTCTCCCAAATGACAAAAATTAACATATATCCATCCAAACTTTTCTTTTCTTATCATTTCTTGCCTCCCAAATGCAGCGCTAGTCCCTTGACAAGAAAAAAAATGGTTCATGATGTAACCATTTGAAAGTCATCAATCCACGTCGAAGTGGAATGCTTCTTTTTCATTTGGATTGCTATTTTTTAAAGTATTTGTAAAAAAAATATTATAGTAATTTGATATACACGAAATATAAAAGTAATTAAAAAATGTGCTTGGAAAAACACGTAGAAATTCTTTTAAGGCAAAATGGCTTTCCAAAAAAAAGGTTATCAAAGTCGGATGCTTTTGCATTGGAAGTTACTTGGCAATTTCACCTAGGGTTGTAATCGAGTCGAGTCGAGACCGAATATCGCCATACTCGAACTCGACTCGACATGCAAAAAGGCTGCTCGAGCGAGTACTATTATTAGAGATCGAGCTCGAGCTCGATGCTTGCTTGCAAAACTCGAGCTCAACTCGCATGAGCTCGAGTCAATACAAGCCTTATCAAGCTTGAGTTAGAAATTTTCATTTTTTTGACAATTTTTGAGTGAAAAGACATTATTGCCCTTTAAAAATTTTTATATGACTTGAAATATTTCGTAAATTCAACAACTCTTTTGGGTATAAGGGTAATTTTATAATAATAATATATTAAATAATTAAAATTAAAAACTCGATAAGAATCGACGAGCCTTCGAGCAATGCTTCTGGATGCTCGAACTTGACTCGTTTATCTTATCGAAGCGCTCGAGTTCGACTCGAACTCGAACTCGGTCAACCCGAGTTCGAGTCAAACTTTTAACCGAGCTCGCGAGCAACTCGATTCGATTACATCCCTAATTTCACCTGAGTTTCTCAATCATTCTTTGGTGCTGGGGCCTTCATCTTTATTGAGTAAATGCTTGCTGGAGCCCTTTAATCTGAAAAGATCTGAATGCTTGGCATTTTCACTTGTCCGTTCCACCCGATAGGGACAATAAAGTGTGATGGCAGAGACATGGGAAAAAGGAAAATAGTCATTCACCTAATCTGTTAGTCTCTTTAGAGATAAACTCAAAACATTTGCTTCAGGGGTATAAGTATGGAATTTAAAAACTTAGTGGCTGTCAGAGTTTAAGCTAAAGATGTTCTTAATTAATGGCTCATGTGCGACCGTATGGTCCACATTATTAGTTTCACCTTCGAAGTTAAGATCACATAATAAATTAATAAGAATTAATATTTCCTTGTATACATTATCAGCATTAGATGAATGATAACTATATAAAATTTAAATTTAAAATTTAATTTTTGCACACGTGTCATGAATCTAACGGTAAGAATGTATGCACTGTCAATGTATATAAGATTTATTTAATTAATAATATGGGTTAATTACAATTTATCTTGCTAAGGTATGCCATGTTTCTCATTTTACCAACTAATTTCTATTTTGTAACACTTAACTCCCTAAGAGGTAAAAAATCCCTCTACTATTTTCTTCTAGTTTTTATTCCAAATTACATTTTTAAAAATTTTTATTCTTAAGCAAAGAAAAAAAATTTCACACCAAAAATTTATAAAGTTGAAGAAACAACATAATTTTTTTCTGTATAACAAATTAATTACAATTTACCAGCTTCTTTTATTCTCCAATTTAAGAAATTATGAGAAAAAATTCTTTTGTTACAATCACACAATGAATTTTATTCGCATACATTAATTACAACACAAGCCCATGCTTAAATTGTACTACATTTGTTGCATTCGAGGTGTAGAACCACCCTAATCACATGAGATATTTATGTTCACATTAACAACCCTGTGGTCCAACTCAACTTCGACTACTATGTTTTGGTACAAGAAATAAATAAGGGCAAATTATATTTTACCCCCCTATGGTTTAGCATTTTTTACATAACCCCCTTATGGTTTCAAAAGCTATACATAACTCTCTTATGGTTTGGATTAAAGTGTCAAAGTGACGGAAATAGTCATTCGTAACGGAACTTCTGAAAATGTCGAAATTACCCTTATAAATACATGACACACTAACCCCCTTATGGTTTAATACTTTACCATATAACCCCCTTATGGTTTAATACTTTATTATATAACCCCCTTATGGTTTTTAAAATATATACATAACCCCCCTTGGTTAATAAATAATTTTCAACTTTATATAAGGATATTTTTGACATTTTAGGTGACTCCGTTACGAATGATCATTCCCGTCACTTTGACACTTTAATCCAAACCATGAGGGGGTTATATATAATTTTTGAAATCATAGGGGGATTATGTAAAAATGCTAAACCACATAGGGGTAAAGTGGAATTTGCCCAATAAATAATGACAATTATGTGACAAATAAGGAGTCCTCAATAGGATGCTTGGCATTTTCGCCTGAGCTTTCTTAATCATTATTGTTGTTGATGGGGCCTTCATATTTTTATGATTCAATGCTGGGGCTGTTACTGAAAATATCTGAATTACCGTATGAATTATTGCCAATGTTGTACTTATTTCTCAGTACATGGAATGGTAAATGCATATATTTAAGTTAGCAAAGGAATTTTTTGCTCTTCGGATGCAAACTTCTAAAAGACTCTGTTCATAGTTCATAGTAACTTGTCATCTGGTCGTAATGGGTTTGTTTGTGCCTGTAAATTATTTGTCAAGATTTATTTATTTATATTATCAATATATTTTTAATTATTTTTTTATCTCACATACATCATACATCAATTAAAGCAATGCTACAGTAATTTTCCAAAAAAAGTCCAAATATTTGCTACAAGTTTTTGGTTTACAAATAAATATATGTTGCATGATTTGATAAAGAATAGCTGTATGAAAGCCTAGACTAAATTTTGTCGGCCACAACAATTCTAAGTTTGGTCAATGAAGGCGGCCATTAGTTGTTTCGGTAGAATACTTGAAAGACATCAGGGAGCCCTCGATCAGTGGTTCAATTCAGTGGGAAATTTGGATGCTTTTGCAATGGAAGTTGCTTGGCATTTTTGCATGAGCTTTCTTAATCATTGTTGTTGCCGGGGCCTTCATCTTTTTCTGATTGAATAATTGTGTAAGTTCCACCGGAGAGGGACAAGAAACTTTAATCGCAATCATACTGGAGAAAAGTAAATAGCAATTCACGTCATTTGTTAGTAAAAAAACTGAAAGCATTATCTAGTCTTATAAATTACTAATCCATGGGAATTAGACATTTCATTTTCTTGGTTTTACAAATGACCACGCAGGGTTTGTTACTCCATCTCGTTAGAAACCAGAGACCAAAAAGTTCTCCATTATTGTCAGTGTAGTACCTATTTTGCGAGTTGGCTGCTTTTGTACGCAGAACTATCTAGTGGATGATGGAGTAAATCCCCAAAGAGTGCTACTTAAAGAAAAAAAATTCCTAAAAGTGATGTTTTCCGGACTTCTTCCCATATGGTAAAAAACGTATTCATCAAATGCAATTTTTGCAACTTCAAAAGTTGCAGTTTTTTTTAATCCTTCCATCCATTCCCACACACTTCCTACTCTCAATTATTAGGCACAGGATTCAAACCCTAAATTTGATAGCGAGTAAAACTCTAAGAGGCCTCTCTTAGCCACTAAACCAATCCTATTTGTTTTTTTTTTTTGTCAAAACGTCAACGTTCCATTAATAAACCGAAACAAGTTACAAAAAGACTGGGCAACTGCCCTTACACTCTGTCTATCTGCACAAGTTCATGCAGACACGCTGGGAAGTCATCCTTCCATTCAGCTAAGTTTTCCAATCTAACTGCCATTTTGGCAAGCTTATGGCTAACAGAGTTGTTTACTCTCCGAGTGAAAGTAAAACAACATTCATCAAAACTAGTTCTAAGACTCCTAATATCATCAACCACTACCGACCCTATCCTATCATTTTCCTCCCTGTTTAACTCTTCCACAACTTGTAAGCAATCTGTCTCAAACACCACCTTTTCCCATCCTTGCAGCTTTGCCAGCTTCATAGCCATTCTTAGTGCCAATGTTTCCTCTTGTTTTGGGTTCGAACAGCTAAAAGATGGCACAGCCCATGCTCCTAACACCTTCCCTTGCCAATCCCTCGCAACCATTCCCCAGCCCGCTCTATCCTTCTTACTGTGTAAAGCAGCATCTGAGTTCATCTTTATCCAACCCTCCTGTGGTCTTTCCCAACCATGCAACTCCCTTTCCTTCTTCGTGCTGCTGACCCTAACTTCCACCTCAGTCTCTTGAGCCTCCTGATACTCCTGCCACTCCAACACTGCTTTGTTAGCTGCTACCAACAGATCCCTACCATGATCATTAAATTGCTTGTCATTTCTGGACTTCTAGATTTGCCATAGCAGATTTACTGTTAAACATATATGCTCATTACCCTTCTCCTTGGTTACAGCTTCTTTCAGTGCCTCCCACCAGTGCCAAAACCTGTCCTATAATCCTTTAGGCCCTCCTAGCTCAGAGGTGCAACTTTCCATATTAATTTTGCAATGCTGCAAAAGAACAACATGTGTTCAATAGTTTCTGGACCTTCCCCACATCCTTTGCACATATGGTCTCCCTTTGAACATCTTTCCTTTAGTACCGCATTTACTGGGAGGATACCATGCAAGCATTTCCAAATGAAATGCTTCAATTTATGTTTCACATTCAACCCCCAGAGAAAGTTCCAGTTCTAAGTTGCACCTATCCTCCTATAACTAGTTCCTGCCTCTGTCCACTCTTCACCATCCTTCCTTTTCTTTCTCTTTACCAGCCTGTATCTTGACTTTACAGTATACATACCAGTGTTTGAAAATGCCCAGAATATTCTGTCCTTCCTAGGCTCCTCACTAAGTAGAATACTCAATATCTTCCTACCTTCTTCCCTATCAAAAACCTGTGC